CTGTTTAGAACGCTGCGCGCCGGTGTGGCGTCGTTGATCGCATTCGCTCGCAACGTAATGCTGCTTTCATAGTCTGCGACGTCCGCACGGTCTGTGCGGACGGCGCAGACTAGGCCGATGTCAGACTTTGCGAATCGCGCGATTCGCTAGCGTCTGCGGTCGCGTCGCGGCCAGTGAATCACTCAATTGGCTGGTACCGCAACGCGACCGCGGACGCTAGCGAATCGCGCGATTCGCAAAGTCTGACATCGGCCTATGAAAGCAGCCTAACAGCGGCATCGCTTGCCGGAGGGCTGTGACCGCGCCCTGGCGCTACTGTGGGTTACGGAACATCCTATGTTTCTCAACTAATCTTGTACCGCGCTCAATCTGGTGTAACGCTCGAAACAGTAGAGCGAAGTAGTACGCAGACACACACAAATAAAAACGTAAGCTAAAAGGAGAGGGGTTGTAAGATATATACGAGATATTCTCCCTGGTTTCCAGTGGCACCCTTTGAAGGATCGGACACCTCCACCATATTCGTCAAAAAAGTCAAAAATAGCAATACAAGGACGAATCATGTTGAGGTACAATTTAGCTTATGAAGCGGTGTTATGGAGATGATTGTACCCTTCTCTACTGTATGAGAAACCTTGTGCATGCGCACCCACTCTGCAAGAGGGGGACTTAAAGGTGGAAGCAAGCAAGTAGAAGGCGCGTAACATGCGCAGCTGTAGAAAGTCCTGCGACTGATGTAAAACTGGTGGGTAATAAATAAGAGCACTTAGGTGTCTCCTTTGTTGAAAAATTCATACAAAATGTTTGGTGGTGAAGGTTCGTGTGAAAGCCGTACATCATCGAGGACTCCTAGCCTCTCTGTGGCGTCTTTTTGAGTTATCCGAGCAACTTTTGGGTTTGAAGGAATCGCCTATTCCTCTTATTTATAAATTAGTGACAAAATTGTACCGATGGTAACCACATACTGCTTTTGTTCGCATGGTTGGGGCGCAGAGTTTGTGGAACAGGTGGCTTTTAGGAGAAGAGTGTGTTCCGTTTTGGAATTGACGCTTTGGCCACTGTAAGTGTTCCTTTTTGAAATTAACGCTTTAGCCACTGGAAGTCGACTTTGCGGGGTTTTTGCCGCAGAACAGTTATATATTTTTCTGTTAACAGAGGAGAACTCGATTCAGCACCGTTCGGGATGTGCTTCTTCGTGAATAGTGATAAAAACCAATTCCGTAATTCAGGTCCGCACCGGAAAACAACTGGATTTAGAACAAGGTGACGACGAGAGACTAGCAGAGCCAGGTCCATCGACCGCGTGATGGCTTCCCTCCGCCCATGTGGGATCGGTCTGTCTGGCAACGGATCGCTTTGTATCACTTATCGTACTCTAATCCTTCGACTCCTCACTTTGACACTATCACGTCACAGTTATTCTCTTGCGCACACTACAAAGTCAACCGGAAGTTCATTCTTGGAAATACTACCACTTCCCCTTTTTTGTTCACCTGCCTTATGATACTTCGCGATTCTCTTCTTTCTCGCCTACTCCCACCGCAGCGCTGTCGCTGCTCGACTGAGATTGCTACTTCCAGTTGATGTATGTTCACTTATCATTTTTCT